TCACAATCTATATATTTATGTTGTTATGTGCACCCAAGTGCATAGTTTGTGATGTTGAGTGCACCCTCGAAAGGTTATTGTGCTGCTACACGCACCTTTTTCATGGTTGGTGTTGTTGCGGCCAATTTTCCCAAGAAAGTTTCGTCGAAGGATTTTTATCAGAGTGATCCAACTTTTTTTTTTAAAAAAAAAAAAGAAAAAAGAAAAATCTTTGAAGGAATTAAAGTTAGGAGGAAGAAGAATAGGTTAGGAAAAAGAGAGGAGGGAAGAAGAAGAAGAGATGGTTTGTTTTTATGCAATAGTATGAAAATTAGAGCTATTTATAAAGAATAACTAAGATTAGGGTTTGCATTTTGACAACCTTAGGTGGCTCAATGAGTTCTAGTGGATAGGATAGACCAACTGTGTGTAAAATGGAAAATGACATTCCACGTCAATCTTACATAGTTTTATTTAGCACAAGAAAACTATGTAAGAAAATTCATCTCTTATTTATTTTTAAAAATAATATCTATTCATTCTATAATGGGTTGATTATTTTAGGATAACAAAATAAATGTGTTCCCACGAAAAATATGTAAGAAAATTCATTTATTAATTTTAAAAAAACAAAACCTATTCATTCTATATTGGTTTGATTCTCTTAGGATAACAAAAACAAATGTGTTCCCACGAAAACTATGTAAGAAAGTTCATTTATTAATTTTTAAAAATAACATCTATTCATTCTATATTGGGTTGATTCTTTTGGGATAACAAAAATAAATGTGTTCCCACTTGATAAGGTAAGAAATTAAACTCACAAGGTAACAAATGATATACTAGGATGTACCAAATCTTTGAATAATAGCAATAACAATAATACATGCAATCAACATAGAATAATAAAAAGATATTGCCTTTGTTCTGTAAAGAAGTTCTTTTGGTTTACCGATTTACCTATATGTAATTAATTTTTATTTGTAGAAATTTTAAGTTTTGGCGTAAATATAATGTCAATATGATAATCCAATGTCACATAGGCCGGCATTTACTTTGTAAATTGTTATTTTTCTTGTCTCATTGTAATTGACGATCAATACATACATAAATAAGATCAATACATACACAAATAAGATTATCAATTGGTAAAAAGAATATCAATGCATAGATTCGTTTGTAGTGGTTTGAAATTCTTAGGTGTGCCATTCTTAGGTGTGCCCAGGTATACAGTAAAGGTATACATACATTTGCTAATATACGGAGTATATACTTCATGATATATAACTTTCACAAACTTGACATGAATGCAACCTATGTATATATAACATCCATTTTATAAACGAATAAGGTCTACGATTATGTGAAAACTCTGTTCAAATAAAGCGGATAGTCTTATTTATCCCATATCCAACTCTCTCTCTATTATTCCCTTTGTTTCAATGCTTAGATATTATTCAAAAATTTTTTTTTACTTTGATCACTAACATCTCTTTAAATTAATTTCAAAATTATTCTTAATCAAAGTTCTACCTTGATACATACTACTGAAGCTAATATTGCTTTATATTATGAAAGGGAAGGAGTACATTGTTATAACCCAAACACCAAGCTTCCAACTCTAATCCAAATTCATTGTTTTTTCAATCCAGACCCTACATGGCCCATTAGAAAATTATAATTTTATCCTACGTAGCGCTTTAAAAATAATAATCTTACGTGACGCTCTAATAATTTTTAAAAATTATAATCCTACATGGCACGTTAATTATAATGCTACGTGACAACTCTATAATCTCGGGGAAAAAACTCTCCTTTATATATAATAATAATAATAATAATAATAATAATAATAATAATAATAATAATAATAATAATAATATATTAGGTTTTTTTTTCTTTCTAGTATTTTCTAGGATTTAGGTCTCAGTCTGCTTTAACGATTGGGCCTAAATTATCACGAAGTTTAGGCCTTTATTTATTTATTTTATTTTATTCTATTTTTCTACCAAGATGAGTTTTGCAGCTGCATAATAGGGTTTTTTTTTCTTTCTTTCTTTTTGAAGAACCGTATAACCTTACCTTTTTGCAAGTACTTCGCATAATAAAACTAGTAATTACTCCGTATATGGTCTGATCATATTATGAAAGTACTATGTTAGGGTAAACTTTTCTATTGTTGTTTCATTTTTTTTTTTCAATTCCCCTGTTTATTACTTCGTATAACCTTTCTTTGTTTATTTATACATGCGTCTTTCTTTATCTTTTAGTTTTAGGCGTAACGCACGGTAGTACGGTACCCTACCCACTCTTATATAATTCAATATTTAAAAATCCTTGTAATTACAATCATGCCCCTGAGCCTGGTATTGACTATTGAGTATACGTTATGACAGCCTCCTCACTGCAATGCTAAAATTAAAAAAAAAAAAAAAAAAAAAAAAAAAGGATTGGGTGGGTGGCTGATATATTTTACTTGTTGGCTAATATGTTTTATGTGTTAGTTGATACTCCCTCCATTTCGTATTAATCGCAACAGTGGGGTGTTCACAAAGTTTAAGAAAATTTATAGGGTGAGGCCCAAAAAAGGATTTATTATAATATAAAGTATTGTTAGTAGGACAAAGAAATAATTAAAAAGCAGTGTAAATGGGGTTGGTAGGAAAAATAAATCATAAATTTTTTGTAAAAGTGGGTTAATGGGAGAGAGAAATTATAAAATAATGGTGGATTCTTTCCAAATATAAAAGTGTTGCAATTAATACGAAAAGGATGTAAAAGAAAAATGTTGCGATTAATACGAAACGGAGGGAGTATGTTTCATTTGTTTGCTGATATGGTATTTGTGTTGGCTAATATATTCCTTTTGTTGGTTGATATGTTTTTTTTTTTAATTTTTTTTGGATATGTTCCTTTTGTTGGCTGCTATCAGACATTAGTTGGCTGATATATTTCTTTGGTTAGCTGATATCATTATTTTGTTGGTTGATATGTATATTTTAATTGTTGGCTTATATGTTTCATTGTGTTGGCTGATGTGTTTATTTTGTTGGCTTACCTATTGTTTTTGTTTGCTAATTTCATCCTTTTGTTGGCTGATATGCTTCAGTTGTTGGCTGATATGTTTCGTCTCTTGGCTGGTAAGTACCTTTTGTTGTCTGATATATTCCTCTTGTTGGTTGATATGTATATTTTGTTGGCTGATAGGTTCCTTTTGTTGGCTGATACGTTTTTATTAATGTTTGATATGTCCATAATATTGACTGGTATCAGACATTTATTAGCTGATATGTTAGTTTTTTTGGCTTATATGCGTCATTCTCCTTCTCCCTTTTTTTTTATAGAACGTCATTCTCCTTCTTCTTCTCCTTTATTCCTCACTTACTCTTAATTTCCTCACGCCAAATCCTCACGCCGCCCCTCAGTCCTTCGATCTCCTTCGTTCCTCACTTCCCCCTAATTTCCTCCTCCACAAATCAGTCCGGCCACCCCCCGCCACGTCGTTTTTGCCGCCGTCGTTCAAGCCTACGCCAGGTCGCCGCCACTGAACCCAACAGCCACCGTTCCAGCAGCCACGGCCAGCCGCGCAGCCAGGCGGAGTGCCCAACCACGCAAACCAGCAGCGAACTCCACCGTATCAGCCGCTGCTTCACATCTAGGGTTTCTAATCGCGAATCGGCATTTTCATATCGTCATCGTCGTCAGCAATGGAGTCGTCATCGTCATCATCGTCGTCTTTATCGTCATCTCCTCCGCCACCGCACGAAACATATTGGGTGCGGACCGCACCCAATTGTTTGTGAAAAAGACCGCACCTAATTGTTTGTGAAAAAGACCACACCTAATTGTCCGTGGAAAAAAAAAAAGGAAAAATTGCCCGGAATAATCCCACCTTTGGGGCGTCCGCTAAAAATAATCCCACCTTTGGGTTATTTTTAAATAATCCCACCTTTACCTTCAATCTGCTCCCAATGGTCCCACATGACTGGTTACATGTTAAAAAGGGGTTTTTTTTTAAGTACACGTGTCACCATACAATTTGTCTAAAATTTTAAATTAAAAAAATGAATTTAAAAAAAAAAAGGGGATTCAGCCAGCCACCACCTCCACCAGCCCAGCCGCCGCACTTGGTCATCGAATTGCAGCAAATCGGATCGGAGCTTGTGGCTAAGGAGAGTGACAAAGGCCGAAATTGTGGCGAGGGATTGTGAAGGAGGCCGGAATCGGAACGAAGATGGGGTTTTCGAGGGTGGCGAGATGATTTTATGGACTGGAAAAGGGACAAGGGAAGAGGAGAGGGCCGAAAACGTGGCGGGGGAAGGAGGTTAGGATCGGGACGGGGAAAGGTTTCGAAGGTGTTTGGTGGTTCAAGGGGAGGGATACGGCGGTCGGCACGTTCAAGGGGGGGTACGACGGTCGAAACCTGGGGTTTTCGAGGGTGGAGGTTGCCTAGTTTCGTGAGGGAGGGGGTTTGGTGCTTCAGGGGTGGGGATCTTGGTGACCAGAGCCACGGGGCAGGGGTGTAGGGGCGGTGGGGAAGGTTTGGGCTGGTGGTGGTTTTAAATAATTATTAATTTTATTTATGTTTTTCTTTAAAAAATAATTTAACTTTTTTTTTAAATTTTTTTTTTTTTTGTCAAATCATAGGCTGACACGTGTCAAGTAACTTATTATAACAAGTTACATGACCGATTGGGACCATTTTGAGCGGATCAATATCAAAGGTGAGATTATTTAAAAATAACCCAAAGGTGGGATTATTTTTAACAGAAGCCCCCAAGGTGGGATTATTCCGAACAATTTTTCCAAAAAAAAAAAAAAAAGTCGTATTGCAATAGGTGGGCTATTGCAACAAGTTTCAATAGTCCAAGATGACTTTTTTTCAATGTAGTAAATTGTTGCAAATCTTGCAATACTCAAATATATCTTTGTTGAAGTTGGTTTAACAACAAACAAAAATTAGTAATGAATTTAGTGACGATATTAAGGAATTTTTAAGAGAGAAAATAAAAGGACAAACAATAACCACTTAGTAGTTAGTACGCATCGTCGGAATCACACGTACTTTCATTCAAGGTACTTGTATACATATTGATATTTAATATCACGATTATATGTTATCAAAATTGTACTACACACCTAAAGACTAAAGAAAATCGAATACTATCTTATACATATGCATGCTCTCTACTTTTTCCTTACAAATAATAGGTACGTACTGCTAAATATTTGGCATCATATTATACAATAATATGATACTGTATATGATTATAGACATGATAGAATAAGAATAATACTAATAACATAGGAGTATTATTATTGCAATTAACTAAAAAGAAGAGAAGCATTGATCATGATCGGAAGAGTTGGAGTCATCAAACGGAGAATGATTATGCCTGCCTTCATAAGTTGTTATTACCATTCGACAATCTTCAGATAGCCTTTCCACTCTTTTCTTCACTCTACAATTGCTATGTGTGCATCGGTAATAACTCCTGTAATATCGAATTATAATCAGTAATACGTGACAACAATGAACTAGATCGAGTTCATTACATCAACAATCATGTATTGTGGATGCCTTTCACACGTACATAGAGATATTGGAAACACACATAGAGTTAACGGTCTGTGGTACTAATAAATTCTCTTTACATATTTATCATATATGAATGTTAATGTCCCATTGTCACCAACCAAGATATTGCATCGATCCTCAGCTCGTCTCATCAGTAAGTAATTAAGGTGAGGGTATCACACTACGTTACATAATTTGTTCACCAACTGTTCTCCCATGCCTTTCTTGGTCGGACCAAATCAGCCGATGATTGGTTTAGGAAGAAATATACTATAACTACGTGATCATAACGTATGAGAGGCTATCTATGGCCTTATAGGGTCACCTATCCTAATTAGGGCGGCCTGTCAAAACAATATTCAATTCAAAATCAATGGAAAATCTAAGCGAAGAAAAAAAAAATCGTGTTAAGTTTTCCCCAATTGGTATGTAACATGTCAGTCATACATCTGAGTATACGGATTTCTCTATACAAAGCATATTTTGACAGCAACTAGTTAGATCAATTACGTCGTACTTAGTTTGACTTAAAGAGTATGCATTATGCTCATTGGAATTAAATTTTAACCAGGTCAGATGACATCAATATTAGATTTCTAGATCTATAATTACCTCAATATATATAGACATATTTCTAAAACCTTCTCCACAACTAATACAATCATCGATCAATCTATTATGAATTTATAATATATACGAAACTCTATATTAACTGTGTATATCTTTATTTTATAATTACCATTAATATTACTACGTAATATATATACTCAGGATCCTTTTAGGTTTAATTTGATCACTGTATATCTTGTCTTATACCCCACCATTTTTTTTTTGCCACGTAATCAATAAAGGCGTGTTATTTTAAAATATTTCCAAAGAGTCAAAGACCACTACCATGCAATAGCTACATAATGTGGCAAGAAGAAAAAGAAATATACGGAATAGTAGATAAGACGAGACGCAAATTGAGAGATGTTTTTGGGCAGACCAACATCCCCAAAGACACTATTCCTAAATACATGTGTAACAGCGTTAAGAGTATCCTTTAGAACGTACGAAACCATGATTAACTGAAACTTTTTAAGAAGAAATAACAAGCATATATAGCATCAACTGCGCTGCCAATTGATAGATGTAATGCACTTGTTGAATAAAATCAAAGTAACATAAGATATATTCTAAAATCAACAATATTACAAGTACAAAAAGACGACCTATATAGAGAAATGCTAGCCCACTACCCGGGAGTGACAATACCAATATATGGCCTTCATTCAGTCACACATCTCACATTTAGAGATGTCAAAAACTGATCCAACCAACCCAAAAAAACTCGATTCAGATTTCGACTTGTGTGGACACATGATTCAATTTTGAAATACACCCGACCTATCCCAACCTTACCGAACCCAACCCAGGTACCCGAATTATTGACACCTCTAATCGCACCTCTTGAATCAAGTCTTCTAGTCACACCTATTGAATCAACCCCATTATGAACTTATTAACGGGACATGGACTTTAATGTATAGTGCAACTCTCTTTTTAACCGAAGAATTATATACTACCTCCATTTCATATTTTTTGCAACTTTGGAATATTTTATCTCACAAATAATACCCCAAAGTTGCAAAAAATATGAAACGGAGGTAGTAAGCAATTTTTTTGGTTGACTATATTCAGAGGGGGACCTTCCACCGGGGCCATTTAGGGCCCGGCCCCCGGTAAAATATAGTAACTAATTAGTTAATGAACTTAAATAACCTTATTTTACTTATAAAAATATTAGAAGATAGTGATTAATTTGAACGAGAGGTAAAAGATTTAAATATCGACCCCTCTAATATTTTTGACCAAGATCGCTACTGACTATATAGTTTACAAAAAAAATTCGTTGCCCAAAAGTCTCACAGCAAAACTATATTACAAACTAAAGATTATAATCTTGCATGTATCTTTTACTCTTTTTGAAATCTTGGTATTATATATGCCTAGCTAGCTAATTTTCTCTGTCCCTGAAATCTAATTAATTAAAAACTAAGGCCATGCAAAGTTACGTCACGTTATTCCATGCAGCAATTAACTTAGGAACATTGAATATATTTTTGCACTAAATAACCAAAATTAGGGATCTTTCAGAAGATACTTAATTAAACCGATCAGAAATACAGTGTACTAATTAAATAACGCGTTTATAATTTGAGTGACGAAAAAAGAAAAGAAAAAGTTAGCTAAGTGGTGAAATAACTTGGGATAGATCGAATAGAATATTCATATAGTTGTATAGTGAAGTAATATAGACCTGCTAGTCGCACAATTAGTTAAGATCACAATATTAAGCAACTAATAAGTCGCCTTGCCAGCATCAAAAGCTACCAAATTAGTTATACTAATGATGTTTCTGTTGATTTTACAGCTATTGATCTGATCTAAGTCCATCAGCAGGTAATAACCAACGTAACATTTAACAATTCAATCACCAAATTAAATTCTCCGTCTTCATGTAACAACTAAGGCATGCATATGCAACGCTACCAATACTGAATGCAAAGACCCTAGTATAGTTAGACCAATCTCAAATCCTCCTCATCTCGTCAATAAGGGTATAAAGACAAAATTAATGACTCTAAATTATAAAATGTGACAAATTTTTAACATTTTTAAAAAGACTAATTTTTCAGCGTTAAACATAGTTTTTGAGAGGGGGTATGAATACATATATAGGGGATCTGTGGCATTATATAAAAGCAGTGCACATTCATTTCTCGTATGTGCTTATCCATGTGTTCCACTTTCTTAAAACCACACTATACGTATACCACACATATATTGTGGTCCAAATTTGCCACATTTATGTACTAATTTTTCACTTGTGATGCTCTGAAAATGTGAGCTTGCAACACATTATTTTCTAGGATTTGACACTGGGATTGGAAACGTTACAGATGATTGATTGTGGAAGGATGATGAGAAAATTGGCGTAACCAATTATAACGTACATTTTAAGATCTTGTGTTATTTTATTCCCAAAACTCCGTCCCTTGTTTTTCAATAGTAGTTTCAAAGAAATGCACTACTAATATGGTGCAGCTGTTGTACTTATTCCATTTACTTGTAGTTGTAATAGTTTGACTAACAGAGTAAGTATATAGTTATGGAAATTGAAAAAACTAGTTTTTGTACTCCTTTGTTACTAAAAAGACCTTTCTACTTACATTCTACATATGGTCGAATTTATGCAATACAATGTTAAAGATTACTCATGAAATGTCTTACATTATAAGGATAAGATATTACAATTGACTATGTCATCGAAATATTAACGATGCTATACTATAGACAACCTAATTACTAACTAATGATCCCTTAACATTTGTTAAACACCAATCTAAAAGTATGATTTGCACATTAAACTCATTAAATAATATTGGATGGTTTGATTTGATATTTTTTTGAAGAGTAAAATTGAAGCTAGTATAATGCGCACTTTTCAATTAGCAAACCATCAATCAAAATCTCAACAAATTAACTTAAAATGAAGCAAATTAATTAAGTCAATGAAATTAAGTATGTATTTAACTACCTTGGATGAAGACTATTCTTGACAACTTTCTGACCATATTTGCGCCACTTATAACCATCTTCAAGTACGTCGATGTCACTCCTTGTTTGAAAACAAAACCTTGGCTCCCTTAGCTTCCTCCTTATCTTCATCTTGTTCTTTTCTGAGCTCGAGTTCTTCCACCTATATCATTACAATAATTTTGATAATGTACAAGGTGCAAAAATTGATTAATCGATAACTTATCATCTTTAGAAACAAATCACACAATAACTAATGAAATTATGAAAATGCTTATTGCATTGAAAGTATTAGAAGATATATAACATTATTGACAATAAGCATTAATTAACTAAGCACGAACATTATCTTGTACAACCACATCATTTATCGAGCTACAAATCAAACACTCCCTTTATCAGACTGTCAAATTAATTGTAACATTAGCATAGTATGTATTTTCAACTATTAATGTGACAATTAATTAAACTTGAACTAATGTAGTAGTGAACAACAATATACAACGTGACATGGCACGTGCACGGACATGGTAGTCATGAATCTAGCATTTATTGTAGTTGCACCTTATGCAAAACAAGTTCATGAATGTGTACGCAACGTAAATGACTTGTCTTAGCTCAATTAATAATCGAATTTTAAGTTCAAGTTCAATGCCTAGGGCAGTTTACATTTGAATTAGTGCATATATAATAGTATTTCTTCAAATCGAACCAATAATTATTGTTTTATAGATACACTAGTTAGACTAATTACTACACACATTTCTTTTCTTTGGAGAAATTTTATTTAAAGGATGATAGGTTGCTAAAAGATATATGGAGTAGCAAAACATTTATAGTACAACAAATAACCGAGAAGGATAGTAGACTAAGACTTCATTCTTATCCGTAACCCTTCTCATCCCTCCGTTCTTTTTTTTTCTTCCTTTTTAGATTTTTTTTTTTTTTTTTTTTTGAGACAATAAAATAAAACAGAGGGAGTATAGCTCAGAGATGAAGATGACTAGTACCAAGAATGCTCAGCTCCATCGTTATCGCGGCCATTATTACCATTGGAGTTGTCCCCAGCAAAAGCTTTCGGATCTGATGATCCTTCAACCTGAATAATCACCATGTAAATTATACATTATTGTTAAACAACATCATATATACACTACTATAATTATCATACAAATACAAATATATACTGTACTATACAAATAATAATCATTACTTTAACACTTTGGATTAATAGTGCAATTTTATATAAACTTAAAACATAGGTATATCTCCAGGGTTTCCAATATGAAAAGAACATAATATATATATGCATGTCATAAAATTTAAATACTATATATAGATATTCATATTAACCTGTTGATCAGTAGTATTGTTACTACTATTCCAAGACTGCCTTGTAGTGACATAATTATCAAAATTACCAACAAGCCCCTTAGTAGTGGTGGTGGCCGCGGTGTTGTTGCTGTGTGAATCGGATCCCCGATGATCCGTGATCTGATACGGAGGCGGTGGCGGAGGTGGTGGTGGGTGGTGGTGACTCAAGAAGGTGGTGAGCATAACATGGTTAGAATGATCAGATAATTCCAAGGATTGAGGAAACCCTTGTAAATTAGAAGGATTATTAGTAGTATTATTAGAAGTAGAAGGATTATTTGAATGAATCAAGGACATGTGGAGGTCATAGTTTGGGAAATTTGTGCTACTTCTAGTATGATCTCTTTCCATGATATAATGATAATATTCAAGTGGTGTTATTGTATGATTTTTGCTTTTTTTTTTTAGGAGAGAGAAAGAGGAAGAGATGAGAAATATTGGGGTTTTTTCTTCAAGAAGTAATTATAAAACCCTTGAAAGTAATCATGGAATATTTTAGTACACACACATAATACAAGCACTTTAGTTTGATATATACTATTTCAAAAAAGAGAAAAATAAAAGTCACAAATTAATGTTTCAGCTCTTTTTGCTTTTTTTTTTTACCATGCTACAATTTTTTTTTTTCCTCCTTAAAAAACAATAATTTTTATATGTAACTGTTTTCTGGCCATTTAACAACTCGGAGTATTGCTCGATCAAAACCAAATGATAGCTAGTTTACTAGTTATCATTTCAATACGAGGTATATATAATACAGCTTAATTAGTAAAATTAATTATACTCCGTAGTGATTACCTTATAACATTAGTTATTTACTAAAATAGCGATGTAGTGAAATTAAACACTCGATCTATAATTTGAATATATTATTTGATTGAATTGATGTTCCTCAAACTAAATTAACTTTGACGGAACTTAATTTACATTAGCAAAATTATGGGCTCGCATTTCCTCTGAAAAAGATACTTCTACAAGGTACTCGTACAAGATAGGACTCAAAGTGGAAAAATAATTAAAATGCATGCATGAACATATATATACTCCGTATTAATTATTAGAAGGTCCATATGATCATCATATATACCACCCGAAACAAGTAGTCTTTTGTTATTTTGTAATTAACTTATACTCAGGAATCTTTTTCCCTTCTCCTATCTTATGACTTACTGTACAATATTTCTTCTTACATTATTTGAATTACTGTTGTGAATTAGGTTTCTGCCCCAAAAAATATTCTTCATGCTTTAATTTAATTTGGTAATGATTGTAAACAATAATGGCATTAGCCATGATCTAAGACGAACTAAGCTAGCTAGCACGATCGAGCAGCGGCAGGCCACGGCCCATGGCTAGCTTACCTACGTGTTGCATGGCTCGCTTGACCATGCTAAGTGCATGCCTTTGTGTTGGTATTGCTACAGTTTTTGGCCTTAATTTAGACCTCTTGGAAAAATTAAGAAGCTTATAATTAGGGAGTTTGCGAGTGTTTGTGGTATGGAAGAATGTTTATATTAATCATTTAGCATTTATCATTTAGCATATAATTAGGGGTATGAGAAAAAGTACTTTTCCCAATTACCAAGAAAACATGAAGATCTTCTAGATGAGAGCATAAACAGTGTAAGAATAGATGAATAAAGATGGGATATAATAATGTTTGGACAGTCAAAATGCAATATATTCCTAATTTGTTTTTTTCATTCAGAAAAACCCTATTCAAGGCCTGCTGAAAAGACCCTCCCAACATCCATATCATATCCTTCAAAATGCCAACAAATAGCAATTACCACCCTCAACCTTTTTAGTATATTTAACACTATATTTAGAGATTTAGATAGTGACTTAATTCCAAGTGAACCTATTAGCTAGCTACCAATCTCTTTCCTATTATTTTTCAAGAGAGAATCTAATGATAGCTGCTAAACAAACGACAATGCCATTTTCCTAACAATGTTTATTTACACCTCCTCGATCAAGAGAAACGTAATATGCTACCAATGGAAGTCATTACAGAGAATAAAAAAGTATGTAGATGGTGAGCCTTGAACTTGTAGTATCAGAGTTTCTCACAATCACCACCGAGCTGAGATTATTTGGTTTTAATAATCAATAGTACGTATGTATAGGTTATGCTTCAGATTGAGTTTTTGTTCTCTTAGTTTGAAATAAGGTGTTTTAGTCAACTTTATAAAGTATGATTTGTTTGATTTGAATTTCACTAATAATATAGTTTATTTGGTCAAATCTTATCATCTTATTTAACTAGATTTGATTGACTTTAATTTTACGTTAATGTATAATAAAAAATATGATTGTCAAGTAGGATCTTGTATTGTAAGATTCGTCTTGGTATAATTCTAATTGTAAGGTCAAACAAAGACAATGCACATCTATCAATAGTTAACAGGATGGCAGTTTTAAAATGAATAAAATGAGAAGTTGTCTTGTTATTCAATTCACAAAACAAAAACACATTTTACCAATGATGACTACGTTCCATCAACAATTAGCTGTAAATTAGATACTACACGCAATAGTATGATGCACACTATGTTTTTGAATATGAATAATGAAGAGGTCAATTATATTTTGTGAATGATTCTGAAACATGGAGTATCATATACATAAAAACAACGGTTACGTGGTAAAAATTGTCATAATCCAGGAGAAAACCCTTAGCTTACTTATAACATGAAGAAAACAATTAGCTTACTTATAATGATCAAATTGATTCACAATGCAATTGTCACACTTAATCATACAAGACTGGTGCATACACCTTGCAATATAATTATTCCAGTATCCCACAAATGAAACACATAATGAATTGCTTGACCACTAAATACAAAGCTCAAGTAAATAATCACTTAAACATGAAATTAAAGAGAAACAGAAGTTGACAACTGATAGACTAGGAAACCAATAGAATTGTCATTTTCTTGGTCACGTGTAATTAACCCCATCCTCTTGCATTATTGATCAAAATACTTGTATATACGAGGTAAAAAAATCTGATTTATTTTTATTTTTTTTGTCTAATTATGTAAGAAATTCTAACTCGAAATTCAAATATATAAATTAAATGAATTTTAAAAATAAGAAAAAACATTTATAAATAATTTTCTCATAAAAAATAAATCATAAATCAGGCAATAAAAAAATTAGTATATTGGTTACCATTTTAATAATTACTACCATAGAATTTTCATTCAAAATAACTCAAAATTAAAAATACGGTTGTAAATTACATATGAAGTGATATTTAGAAGAATACATGCGCTAATTTTGTTTTTTTTTTTTTAATACTCTTTTTCATTGAGTATATTATTGTAAATGAAGGATTTTTTAAAAGAATTATGATTTATGAATTATGATGTATATTTACAGAGTATATAAAAAGTGAGTAGCTGGAAACAACAGTGAAAAACACTCGATCTTCTGTCGAGTGATCGAATTTCAATAAAATGAGTAGTATTTGGATTTGAGATATACAACCTAGTAGAGTCCAAAAAAAACAAGTAAGAAAGAAAGACGGACACAAGGCCCTACAAAAAAATTTGTTGATGCTAATGACAACTTAAGTAATGATAATAACAAGGGTAATTTGAGGACAAAAAAAAATAATTGTAAATTGTGACTCTTCTTCTTTTGATTATCGAGTCATATATAGCCCCGTCCTGTCTTGAAAATTAAATAAGTCTAATAAAATACTCTATAAGACTATAAGTCTTGACTTATTTTATTTCACTTTTCATGGCATCCAATTCTCCAAATACACATTTGACCATTAATTTTTTTTCTTTCTTAATTAATATTTATAATCACTATTAAAAATTAAAATTATAAAACACATTATTGAAACAAATCTAACCAGACTAATCATTTCTTATTTTGTACTTCTTATTTAGTAGTGAAAATAATAGTCAAAGTAAAATCGAATAAGTAATATGAGTTGGAATATAATTCTTTCACTATTTAATGGGGCTTGATTTTGACATTAAAATGTTTAAAAGTATGTATATCTTGATTATGCTAATCTCTAAACCATTTGTGTCTGGTATCTCCTTTTTCCAAATAATTAAAGTTTCACTTTGCAGCCTAAACACGGCCTATTAGTCAAATCACACTCCCATGATTAACAATCAGAGAAAGAATTATGCCCGTAATTTGCGTAGCAAAAATCTAAATATAACCTAGCTAGCTTAATGAAGAAACTTAAATATTAGTAACAACCTAACGGCTAACATAACGGTTAACGCCAAAGATTAAAAAATAAAAAGCATTTAGTAGTGCATAGGGAAGAGTAGTTAGGGTCTGAACTTAGTAAAAGGTCAACTAACACATATTTTCCTAAGACAAATATTCAATATTAAGCTTTTTTTTTAAAGAAAAATTAAGCCCTCCTTGGATAAAAGGAATGAGATTTTGTCATAAATAGTTTTAAACTTTCTAGTGATCACTAATTTCACTAAATCAATATGTGAAATTGTTATTCCTCCGACTCTCCGTAAACTTAAATGTTTTGGAAACTCAAAAATTGCATAACTCGAATTTTCAATTATAAAACAATAGCGTTTAGTAATAAAAGTATAAGAATCAAGTAAGAGCTTAATGTGATTCTCATAATCTCACTACCCCAATTCTGTAGTTGGAGGATTAGGGTATTGAGGTAATTGTTAGCTTATGGGTAACAATATTTAGACTCTGTTCTTTTAAGCTTCTGGGCAGAGCAGAACAGATTTCAGCAGAGCAGGGCAAAGCAGAGCAGAGCTTATAAACAAAAACCTACAAAGTCAATCGATTTACAAGAAAGTAGTGGGGACGCGAGATACAATCTGAGCCCCCACCCCTCTAGCTATAGCGAACCCGATCCTGTTGAAGATGTGAGCAGCTGCACGAGCACCAATATCCCGAGTCCTAGCGAACGCCTGAACCCGCTTCAGCAACGCAACAGCATCCCTCTCTAATTCCCCCAAAGAAGAAAAAGAGAAAGGAAGAAAACCATAGCCAATAGCCCTGCAACGCGCCCCATACTTGTCTCGCTTCCGCTGAGCCGCAACTGACACAACACGACCAGGGACAAAGTCAGACAACCCAGATTGCGTCAAAGGGGAAGACCCCGTCAAGTCAACACATACATCAAAGCCTCTATCCAAGGAATAAAGCAACACATATGCTGGTCGAAGAGCTCTGTCGTTCCCTCCAGTCAACCCAACGTTAACCTTCTTTCTTGCAGAAATCCCAGAGCGAAAACAAATATCAACAAGGGTATCACGAACAACGTTGTGCCGATGTTTAATACCCACCAACCCAGCACATGACACGACATGATCCCCATAAATATTCCCATCAAAAACCCTTGAGCAAGCAGAACACGGTGTCAAAACAGAGAACAAGAGAACACCCAAACGGTAGCAAAGAACACAACGGTAAATCTTACCATTCATAGTCTGACCCAAACCTGATATTGGGATCGCTCGCAACCAGACAGAAGTGTGATCCCCCTGCTGGGATTTCCATAAGGCAACCTGACGCGGAAATAAGGAGAAAATGGATTCTACAGATGCAGTGACCTTCGCAAAATATATATCTGCCAATTTCTTCATGAGTTTGGGGGTAGCGATCTCACTAGGGTTACGCATAGATCAGTCTCCACAGTCCTATTAAAAAGACTAAGAGCACCATCGAAGGCTGGTCCTAGATCAACAATACCAGAATTGCGAAGAAGCGAAGCCTGAAGACTAGAAGACTGCAAACGCGACGCAAGGAAAG